AATATATAGAATAAAAATACATTAAAAATACTCCTTTGTAAGCATTTAATAAGATTATGCTCTTAATATGTATCCTTACGAAATTTTATGATTTTGTTTTTCTATTATTTTTTAAATATGTCATCCCAATTTTAATGAAAAAATAATGGGGGTTACGGCAAAAGGTTTTTTTTGTTAAAACTGCTGGTAGCGTAAGTCTTTATAATATATTAAGCCGCATCTATTCTCGCCCACGCGGGCGAGATTAAATGCATTGGGCGACAATATATTTATTTAGAGGGCGAGATTGAGTTAATTTAGTAGGTTGAGCAGAAAACAATTTTTTGCATATTCTACCATTTTAAACGATTATAAATGTTATTACAATCAGAGATTAAATAGTGGAGAACAAAATTAAATTATAATTTAATATACATAATAAATAATTAACTCAGTAGATTTGCATCAGCTCGTTTGAAATCGGCAAATTAAGTAGCAAAAAAATTACCGAAAACCAACAAAATTTCTTTTAGAGATATTTTTTTATTAGGGATTACTTTGAGGTCAAAGTTGTTTTGATATAAATAAGGTGATTTGCTGCTCTAAAAGAACATCTTTTTGATGGTGCAGCGTGTGAGTTAACTGACATGTAAGCAATTAAAGATGGTGGGCGAGATTGAGTGATGGGCGAAATTATGTAAAGTTACCCTAATCATTATTCGCGTCTTTTTAAAAATTTTAAAAACATTTCATCATTTAAGATATAAAAGATTCATTTATATCTTAAATGATGAAATGTCTTAAAAAATTATTAAAAAGAAGTGAACGATTGTACCGCCTTCTTTTTGTTTGCCGTTTCATTAGCACTTGTACTTTTATATTTAAACTTGTATTTTTATTTTTTTAAATTTAAATGTATTTTTTTGATAAACGTCTTCACCAGCGTATGTCGATGGCGGCATTGTAAATCAATCGTGACTTGCAGGTTGTTGGTATAACGTGAATCCGAAATTAATTGGAATAGTATAAATCGTAATATTGTTTGTTTAATATTTTCATATATTAAAAATTAAGATTTAATAATATATTTGTAAAATACAAATTTTGGTTACTTTATATTCGTTTACAAATGATATTCGTACAACAAATAAAATTCGCTTAACAAATAATATTCGATAAACAAATAATGTTCGTTGAACAAATATTAATTCGTTTAACGAATAAAAGTAAAGCAATATATATTTGTTTCCGTTTATTTGTACGACGAATATATATTTGTTAAACGGTTATTATTTATTAAACGAATATAGGTTTACGAATATATTAGTATACTACGAATTATTTAAACGATTAGTTTTTACGAATATTCTTTAACGAATAATTTAAACGAGTGTTCTTTAACGATTATTCGTACATCGATATTTGATAAACGAATAATCGTCGCGCTCTATTAGGAATTACTTATTCACTGGAAATATAATTAGAAGGTGGTTTATAAATCTAGTAAATTAATGTCCTTTAGCTACAAATTAGGACAAAAAAAAGTTCAAATTTTATTTTCTTATTTAACTTATATCGCCCACGAGCAACAATTTACAGTTTACAGTATAAAGTTAATTAAATAATGTAATTAATAATAAGTAATTAAATAACGGTAAAAAGCAAATATTTAAAGCCTTCTGGCGGCAAAAAAAAACGCTAAAAAAATTCAAAAAATTTTTTCTCTCAACTTTATATTCTCGAAGAGCAACAATTTGTCACTATTCAAAGTCAATTTTTTTTTAATGATTTTCCCTAATATTTTAGTTGTATAGGCAGTATCTTTCGATGTTTCAACGTAGTATCAGTATCTTTCGATGATTTCATGTAAATAGCCATGCATCATTAATATTTTGCAACACTTTTCAATAAAAAAAGTTATAAAAAAAACATTGGTCTTCGGTTAATGGTCAGTTGATAAGAAATACTGAACATGTAAAAAAGATGTTTCGAGCCCAAGGAATACCTACAAAGTCTTTCATTACTGTTATAGTATATAAGTTCTGTAAATATATATCTAAAAAAGTTATTTTATGACAAGTATATGTATTGAAAAGTAATATTTTTGATGTTTACACTGATAAAAGTTTTATTCATTAAAAATTTTTAATTTAATTTTTTTTTTTAATTATTATATTTATATGTTTATTACTTTATTTATGCATTTTATATATAAATATAACTATTTTAATAAAAAAAAAACGAAAATAATTTTAACACTTACTCGATTTTGTGCTTGGATCAAGAATTTTACAAATAATTGAAAATTATCATTTGACATAAGTATAACATAGTTTAGCGTTTACAAAATATTTAAAAGAGTCAAATCTGTTATATCAAAAAAACCTGCCTTTTGCTATATATATATATATATATATATATATATATATATATATATATATATATATATATATATATATATATATATATATATATATATATATATATATATATATATATATATCAGGCGCGGATCCAGCATTTTTTGATGTTTGAGATAACTAACTTCCAGACATGGTACAAACCCCAAAAATTTATATGTTTATACTTATATGTTTATACTTATGTCAAATAAAGATGATTTGCAAAAAATTGCGATGATTGGAGTCTGGGAACAAAAAAGCCCCAAAATTTTGGCCACACAAACCCCAAACAAGAGAGCAACAAGTTGATAACATATTTTTTGTACAATTCTCAAGTAAATTTATATTCATCGATAAATTCTAAATTTCATACAATAATCTCTTAGTGTTCAAAAATTATAATTGCACAAAGCTTTAACCCCCCTCAATTTGAGGGGGTTACAAATTTTGTAAGGTCATGTTTTTTGAACACTAAGAGATTATTGTATGAAATTTGGAATTTATCGATGAATATAAATTTACTTAAGAATTGTACAAAAATTATTTTATCAACTTGATGCTCTCTTGTTTGGGGTTTGTGTGGCCAAAATTTTGGGGCTTTTTTGTTCCCAGACTCCAATCGTCGCAATTTTTTGCAAATCATTTTTATTTGACATAAGTATAAACATATAAATTTTTGGAGTTTGTTCCATGTCTGGAAGTTAGTTATCTCAAACATCAAAAAATGCTGGATCCGCGCCTGTATATATATATATATATATACATATATATATATATATATATATATATATATAATATATATATATATATATATATATATATATATATATATATATATATATATATATATATATATATATATATATTAAATTACTTATTATTAATAAGTAATTAAATATATATATTTAATTACTTATTATTAATAAGTAATTAAAATTATTTTTTTCTGGAAAAGAAAATATTATAAGCAATAACGTTATTACTTCTCTTATCTACGTTTTTAATTTCTTTAATGTTCATCATAAAACCTAAAATACAGTCATAAACTTGCATAAATGTATAAAAAACTAATACTGTTAAAAATAAATACTACTGTACTTTCAAAAATGGAGTTAAAAAGAAAAACAATGAGTTCAAACATAACTGTAAATTCAAAAATATTACAAATTCATAAATTTTTATATTTTTTTTAATTCTCTCTATATATGCAACTTCGATATGGTAATCAGTATTTTATTTATTATAATCTACACGAGTAAAATTTTTATGGCCATACAAATAAAAGTGTAAAATAAAGTATTACATTATTTTTATAATGTAATAATATCAACTGGTATAGCTGGATTATATTCTCCAAACAAGAAAAAAAAATGTTCTTGAAAATAATTCTTTTTTTTGTTGCAATTTTTAACACTATTTAACACAATAAAACAGCAAAAGTAGACATATTCCGCCTTAACTACCCTTTTTCTTTGAAAATATATACAAATACCTGTCTTATAAAAAAAAAATTTGTTCAAAATTTTGATATAATTACCTTCCCAAAGCTTTTCAAATATAACAATTTTTGGACCATTTGTTTAATTAAAAGAGGTCTGGGGAGCCAAAATAGTGGTCCAATCAGACTAATTTTTTGATTATATCGACGTTGGTTTTATATATAAAAAATTGCCAACATTCGCGTACGTTGGCCCAATGTATGTGCGCTTTGAGGGAGAAGATATATACAGATTTTTACTCATAATAATTTAATAAAATATTTTTTGAAACAAAAACTTTAAACACAATGTGTTTTGCAACTTAAATATTGTTTTGATATACCATGAAACAAAATGTTTTCTTTGTTTATAAAAATGAAATTTTAAAAAAAAATTAATTTTACAATCTGGGAAACTTTATCAACTGTGTGTACTGAGTACATGGCATGCGTTGTCCGGGAGACGTCTAACGGACGTCTGGATGTCCAGGAGACGTCATACGGACGACCTCTGGACGACGCATCCCCTCTGGATAACATTTACTTTTTGAAGTACTTATCCGAATAACGTCTAACATAGTTGCTGTTCATTTTGTTTTAACGTATTTTTATTAAAACGTTTACTCTAAAAGTATTAATTGAAGTTATATGAAATAGAAGTATTACTTAAAATGTAACCGACCTCTAAATACCTTCCTCTTTATGATATACATGTGTATTTATAGACCCCGGTTTGTGATATGCTCCGATATATTTTTAATTTATTTAAGACACATTAATTTATAAATAACTGACTAATTAATTCAAATGAAAGATGTCTATATGTTGTTTTAAAAAAAATTATTTAGCAGTTTTTTCTTTTTTTTAACGTACATACTTAATTGCTAAACACATACACTTGCACACGTGCAGCTTAAGCAACTCACTCAATACATTAACTAAATACACTCCATACTTTTACTAAAGTTAAACAGTTCAATTGAAATAGCTGTTGAACTTTAAAGTTAAATTAGGTAATAAAATATAATACAACATTCACAAAAATATGCAATACTTATGAGTCATTGATAAAAAAGTAGGTTATTTTATTACACAAGTTATATCTATATATTATAAACATATTTCTATTTAAAAAAACGCACTTGTACACACTGGAGGATTAGCCAATAAAGAACCTAGCAAGTTCGATGCCAGAAGTTTTTCATAACTTTTGTGAGTTCGAGTGCATGTATTTACAGCGTAATTTTTCTGTACAAAACTTGTTACTAAAACGCATGAAGAAATATAAACCACAAAATACAAGAAAATTGGGTGAGGCATGAAGCAATCTAAACAAATAATTGTAAAAAAAAAGTTCGAGCATTAAGGATACATATTGCTAATGAAACTAGTGTTTCATAAGTTAGCATAAATCACAAAATATTATCTAAAAAAGGCAAGTGAGTAAATTAACATCTTAAGGTAAAAATATAACCTTAACATTTGTCATTTCTACTATCCCGTTGATTGTGTAGCAGTTTCATGTAGCTTAATAAAACAAATATTTTTTATAGTTGGTAAGAACATTGGTGGTGTTACAGTTCCATGTAACTTAATGAACATTTTTTATAGGTGGTTAGAACATTGATGGTGTTACAATTCCATGTAATTTAATGATTATATTTAATAAATTAACTTGACGAAGATATTTAGGTATGCAATGTGGTTAAAACACTTTCAAAGGTATGTTCAAACATCCCTGTTCTATTTATTTTGGATGAGCATGCATCACATAAAGAAATATTTATTATTGAATATACAAGACACCTTTACATTTATATGCTAAGTATTTCTCCACACAATACCGACGGACTACAACCACTTAACAGATCTATCATGAAATCTCTCGAGGAGGCATTTAATGAAGCAACAGCAAAATGTGGGGTGAGTCCGGGAGTCAAAAATATAAATTGAAAAATTTTAAAAAGTTTAAAAAATAATGTTTGTCTTGTATTCTGTACATTTCCAAAAACTGAGCGCAATGGAATACCTTAAAGTAGATTTAATGTTAAAAATAGACTTTTCAATTAGATCAAAATATGTTTTATGTCGGTTTCTTAACATTTTTTAAAAAATAGAATAGTTCTAGATCAAAAAAAGCTCATTGAAGTGTCTCACCTCATCTTCTTATGTTAGGTAACTCATTGTTAAATAAGAGGTGCTTTCTAAATCAAATCAATCAAAAGCAAAAATAAAATTCAAAAAAAGATTGAAAAAAAAAGCTTCTGGCTTATTTGTAAATGCTAAAAATGGAATCTATAATATGCACAAAAAACTTTGATGAAGACTGAATTCAGTGCTTAACGTGTAAAGATTGGGCGCACAAAAACTGTGTAGAGTTTAAATCCCACCATTAACTTTTATGACTGCGGTGTTTGCATAATATTAAAAAAAAAATGGTGTTTTTGATTTAATGATGGTTTTATTATCTGTGTTTAAGTAAAGTAGATTATAATATGTTTTGTTTTTAATTCCAATAAAGAACTTATAGAAAAAATAAGTTTTTATTATTTTATTTTCATTAGTAAAAACCGAATGCCTATATTTCTAAACGACGTGTTTATTCTTATTTTATCTCCATTGCTTTTATATCAGAAAATAGGCTATTAAAGATTTTTTTTATTAATGTGTTGAGAACTTTCAGAAACTAATCAGTTTACGCCAAAATAATCTTGATTCTATAATTTTGAATGGACATCCAAGATTATAGGATCAAGATTATTTACACCTGTAGGATGAACCACAAAACAATTGTGTTGATATCATTCATGTTTACAATTTAAAAAAAGGTTAAATAACATATATGCTTAATATTATTATTAAACCCCCTAACTCCCCCTCCCCTCCCCCCATATAAAAATACGTAAACATTTGATGCCTTCTTCCCCCAAATAAATCAATTTCGATGAAAGTGTTATATATTTATCATGATTTCTGTACATGAATGTGCTACATACAAAATGAAAATTGTAACTTTTATGAAAAGTTACAATTTTCAATTTGTAAATTGTAACTTTTCATAAAAGTTACAATTTACAAAATTTTCAGTTTCTAAAGAGCCTCCAACTTCTTTATTTCAATATTATATTTATATTTGTGCATGGAACTAAAGAGCCACAGCTTGACATTGAAAAAACCACACGAGACTTGCTATAAATATTTAAATAATATAATATAGACTATGCACTTGTATAATTTTTTTGTTTGCACATCAAACTAGCCTACAACAGCTTTGAAAAAATAATAGTGTAACGAGTAAACATCTCGTGTGTGGTAATTTAGTTCTGTAGGTGTCAGATCTTTTTAAAAAGCAACACGGTTTTTAAAATGTAGGAATATAATTAACTATATTAAAACACTGAAGGTTAAGTTAATGTGTAACACAAGACTGCAAACGCTGTCTAATTTTCTTTTTTTTTTAATAATTAAATTTATATAAAAAAGTAACATTGCTGACCTTGTTTTGACCTCCTCCTTCCCCTTGTCAACAATTATCAAAAACTTTGGATTGTTTTGTTGACAAATTACTTTGGTGACGTAATTATTGAACAGCCCCTTATGTAATTAGTTTAGTCATAGATTTAGTCGAAATTAATTAACGGGGCGTTGATTCTAATAACCTGCGGATTGTCTGAAGAAAAACTTAATGAAACTTAATATTAAAAAAATATTAATAAGCCTATCCCCGTTTGTTGTTTTTATAAAAGTTTAAAACTGTACAGTAAAAAGTTATGAAGTATTGAACATTTATTTTTAAATACTGTATTAAATTGAAGTATTGAACATTTATTTTTTACTACTGTATTAAATTGAAGTATTAAACATTTATTTTTTACTAAAAACAAAGATTTTAAAGAACTTTTATTTCCTACTTACAAAAAATTATTGAATAAAAACGATTGTATAAAGAATAAGTATAGAAATCGTCGGTGTGAACTTACCATGACCTGTATTAAACGGATGATGGTGAGCCCATCATTCTACATATTTTTAAGTTTATTTCTATATGCTTTTTAAACTTTTTATACCAATTGTAATTAACCAACAAGTTTCAAGCGGGTATTCTAAATACTATTTAGATGGGTACTAACTAGAGTTGCGACTCAAAAAAAACCAAGACACAAAAAATCTTGTTTTTTTTTGCAAAAAAAACAAGACACAAAAAAAACATGTTTTTTATGTTTGTTTTTTTTTTTTTTTTTATTCTCTTTAAATTTTAGATGTTAATGAACCTTGAAACAGTTATATCTCAAATAAAATTAACAATATCCATGTTTTTTTGTTCAATGTAATGTGTGTTACCTTATATATTAGCTATAACCATTTACACATCAATGTTAAAAAAAAACAAATATAAGAAATATTGTGTTCTGTAAAGTTACTCTTTTAAAATACTACTGTATTAAATTTAAAACATAGTTAAGATTTATCCATTAGTTATTTTAATAAAATAGGGGGAAGAAGCCTGAACGTTTTTGACAATTGTTGACAAGGGGAAAGGGGAAAATCAAGAAAAGTTGACGCCAATAATGTTACTTTATAAAATGAATTAAATAATTAAAAAAATAATTTTCTCAATAAGGTTAGGGAAGGGAAAGGGGAAGAAGAGTAGTTAAATGTTGACGTAGTTTAATAGTAAAGAGGGGAAGTGGGCTTTGGAGTTTTGACAAATTGATGACAAACGGGATGGAGGGGGTGTAAAATTGTCAAATAATTCTTAACATTATTAACGGACAGCCACGAAGTAGATTTTGAAAATTCAATTTTGTTAGTCTGTAATATGTATTTTTAACCTTGTGTTTTGTTATTCATATTATTATGTTGTTCATATGCGTAAACACTATTCAATACTGCTAGTTAAATTTTATCGCTTCGTAGTACGTAGTAAATTTTATTGCTTGTAAATTTTATTTATACTACTTCGTAGTACGTAGTAATTTTTATTGCTTTGTACTACTACGACAATAGTTCTACGACTAATATTGTATTAGACAATCTTTAATCCATAATTATAAGCAAAAAAGATTTTGATTTTAAATACAGCCCGACGGGCATTTGTTTTTAAAAGTTACGATCTAAATGTATTTTAAATATCTTTTAAACGTCTTTTAAACATTAATGTTTAAAAGACGTTTAAAAGACGTTTAAAACACATTTAGAACGTAACTTTTAAAAACAAATGCCCGTCGGGAGGTTCGAGTTTCGACAAAATCTTGGTGTGCCATAGTACAGGATTCCCACAAATTCAGGGGTCTCAAAAAACTAAAGATAAAAAAATTGACTTGTTTTTTATGATGCACCTGGGTGTAGCAATAACAAAACATTTACTTCAATTTACACTATGAATAACTTGGCATGCTAGCTATATCAGCTGTCATGCACAACATTTAAACAAAACCAGGGTGTTGTTATGACTAACAATCTGAAGTTTAAAATACAAGCAAAGACTTGTATTTTAAACTTCAAGACATAGCCAAACTCGAACAAGTTCAAAACCGAGCCACAAAACATACTGCCTCAAATACTTGCGTTATACTCAAAGAAAAATTAACTTAATAAAGCTAACCAAACAACAAAAAAGAGTAGATCTTATTAGGCAATAAATTGACAAAATTGACAAAGCTTCGACCAAACGCCAAGTCTTTAAAGTACAATCTCCGACTGCATGGACACACAAAACAACTAAAAGCACAATTTGTACGAAACTCTGCAGAAAAAAAAACTCACTAATCGTGTTGTCAAACCATGGTTTCTACCCAAAATGCAATGAACTCGAAAAACCTGATCAATTTTATATATGAACTTTCTTTGCTTTTGGCGTCTTAACTTTATCTGAAATATAAAAACTTTATTTTCATGACAGAGTGGCCTGGTGGCCGATCTCCGTCAATAACTTGTAAATTTTTATTGATCATCAATAAACCAAACAAACAGGCAATATTGATGACTTGATTATAGTAGACACTATAATCAAGAAAAAAATTTTACACCCTTTTTGGGGAATGGTCTTCCACATCAACATGACATAGAGGCCCACCGGGGTAAATCCGATCTTTAATTATTAAATGACGAAGTACTAAAATTAGTTTTTATTTCCCATAATTTAGGTCTCCAAAATCAAATATGTGAAAAAAAAATTTCAATGACAAAATAAAGTCAAAAAAATTTATTCTGGGCAGTATTACTGAACGGGCGTTACTAAACATTCTGTATGTTTAGTAAGGTTGGTTCAGTAACTTTTTGTTTAAAAAATAATTTAAATAATTTTTTCGGGAATTATTTAAAATTTTCTATTATTTCTTAACATTATAATAAATTTCAAAATAACATGTAAAAAGTTTTTTTAATTTAAAAAATCTAAAAATCAAAACAAAACAAAAAAAACCATAAAAAACAAAAAAACTTGTTGTTTTTTTGCAAAAAAAACACAGAATAAAAAAAAACGGTTTTTTTTTTGCAACTCTAGTACTAACCGACAAATAGCGGTTCGCGCAATGACGAAGAATTTTAAACAATGCGCCTAAAGTTTTTTATTTTAATTGTATTATAATTTTTTTTCATAGATTTAAAAGGTAGAAAACATGTATAGTTTCTCTCGCAGGGCCCTAATATATATATGTATATGTATATATATATATATATATATATATATATATATATATATATATATATATATATATATATATATATATATATATATATACATATATATATATATATATATATATATATATATATATATATATATATATATATATATATATATATATATATATATATACATATACATATATATATATATATATATATATATATATATATATATATATATATATATATATATATATATATATATATATATATATATATATATGTATATATATATATATATATATATATATATATATATATATATATATATATATATATATATATATATATATATATATAAACAATTTAAAATGTATTCTACAAAAAGAGTGCTCAATATTAAAAGAACAGAGCAATTACAAATTAGTAGAAAATCAATTAGCAATCATTTAACACTGTGTTTCATCAATAAAGACTCATCAGAAATCAATGATCAAATTAATAAAACTTCAATTTATACCAAAAATTAAATTACAGGAAGTCACATGTCTTAACTACTGCAATTTTTCACACATTTGTGGAATTTGCTGACACTATTGTAAAAAGAATTCTTTAGAAATGATTACTTAAGCTTTTTTAAAAAATAATATATTTTTTTTTAAAGGGGAGTTAATGTAACTATTATTTGAGCTCACTTATTTTTATAGTTTTTTAGGAGAAACTTATTTTTTAGGAGAAACCGATTTATAACATCAGTGGTATTTTTCCACTGTTGCAAATTTAATTTATTTCTAAGAATATTAATTTTGTCCAATTTAATTTTGCTTACATGTGCAATCTCACTTTTTGAGGGAACCAATAACCTACAAGGAAGTTTGTTTTGAAAATTTGGTTTATGGTCTTTTAGTGTTAGTGTTTATTTTTTTTCGTTTATATAGTTTTCCCATTTCTTTTTATAGTTGCGTACCAATTTTCCACATTGTTTAGTTTTTAAATTTTCAATAGCATAATTTGCCAAAAAGATTATTATGAGACGCGCAGGGTGTTCAATGGTGACCCATAAAAATTTTCAAATGCTGTCTCAACCATGATTTCAGAATATAATATAAAATTTTTGTTAAAGTTTATATCTTGTAATTAAACTTTTATTTATATCGTAGAACAAATCCTTTTCACAAAAATGTAAAAAATAAATTCCTTAAAGAAGTAATTTCCTATGTAACTCCATACGTTTAAAAATTAAAAATCGTAAAACATATCAAAAATAATAAAACGTTTATAAATATCAAATATCATTTTAATAAAGTAAATAAATGTCGAAAATCATCAAACGTTTTGTAAATAAGTCTAAAATCTAAATGCTTTTCTGAAAAAATCCTGTGACAGTTATGTGCAAAAGTATTTCGAAATGACTAACGTTATTAGTTTAATTAATAAGTTTAATTTTTTTTTTTGAATTTTCCGATGGTCCAAATTTACCCTTTTCCTAAACTGCTTCCTCCTCTTGCCTCCTTCTTCTTTAGAGAGTATATGAAATTTTATTTTAAACAAAAATTATAAACCGGAAAAAATGTCTTTATTTTTTCAAAAATAATTTTCATTTTCAAATTATCGATGAACATGGTCTTCATGAGCGCCTATGGCGCCCTGGTCAAATATGGAGAACGGCGCCCCTATTTTAAACCGAGAAATTACAAATTATAAAGTTTTGTGAAAGCAGCAATCATCTGTTTCTGATACAGCACATTGTATTTCTGCTTTACTAAAAATTCTCTGGATTGAGAAATGGTTTATTATTCAAAACTGACAAGAATCAAAATATTAGTTTCAAAACAAAAAATCAACAAAACCTTTAAGAAAGGTAAACAAAAAAATGAATTTATTGAGCTTTTATTGCCGCCCATATATCAATGGCATCGTCGTAGCGCACCTTTTTTTAGCCAAATCTTCTTGAATCGACAAAATCAAAAGATCAGAAACGCAATCCTGGCCCATGGTCTAACGGAGAAAGCTTTTTACATTTTTTAGTTTACTAAACAATTGTTCATTCTCGACAGTTGATTCAAAAATAATGTTTAAAATCCGGAGCATGATGCAATTGTATAAAAAAAGGCGTTCAAGCTTCTTCTTGATAATTTGATTGAGTAGCTGCAGTGGATTTTCTTTCTTGAAAATTATTTTGTGGGCATTGTTAAAACGGCGAACTTCTTTATCTTTGTTTACATTTCTCGGATAAAACCGAGTTTGTAAACTTTATTTTAAACGGAAAGATTATCATTATTCATCCAGACAAATTAAAAATATTGCCAACTATCCTGCATGCCTCAAACCTTGAATCAACCTGCTGGATTAGACTATCTAAACCAACATTAAAACTTTTTTTCGTCTGGCTGTCGTGGATTGGCTGTGTTTAATGCCTTATTGTAAAAACGCTTTAGTTTACGCTTTCTTTTAGTTGCTATTTTGGCTACAGGTACAACCTCTTGGAAAATTTGCAACCAAGAGCCCCTAATTTTTTTAAGTTCTTCCAACAGGTGCCCAATTAAAGGTAGATCCTCATCAGTGGTTATAGCTTCAGATTGTAGTAGACGGCTAACGTTGTTAACAGCAGTAAGAGTTTTGTTTTTGCAAATTTTAATTAGCTATACAAGTTCAAAAGACTATAATCATTTTTTAAGTCTCTTGGCTGAGCTGCTCACTGGTCAGGTAACTTAAAAAACGGTAATGACTTTGAAGACAAAGTTATGTGACATAATTTATATTATTATGTTAACAATCTTACCTAGTTAGTAGCATTTTCAATTTCCTACAAATCTTGTTTTATTTCAAATTAAAATAGTTTATTGTTACAGAGAGAAATGATAGAAAAACAAGAAGTCCGTTGAGAACGTTTGTACAGCTTCTATTTGAAAAATCGATCTAAAGGGAAAAAAATTACAGTTGATCACTTTCTTGCTGAAAAAATTTCTATTAACACTATCTATACCATTATTCGACGCGCTGAAATTATTTCTTGGCATCAAAGAGTCCCTGGAAGTGGTGGAATTGTTAAAATAATGACAAAAAAAAACATCGAAAGACTTAAAACAATGTTTGATTACAAAGACGGCATATCGTAAACACAAGCAGCTTGGAATATTAAGTGCACCCAAGTATATATCAGAAAAATATTAAAAAATATAGTCCTTAATTAAGTCATAGAAGAAGAAGAAGAAGAAGAAGAAGAAGAAGAAGAAGAAGAAGAAGAAGAAGAAGAAGAAGAAAAAAAAGAAGAAGAAGAAGAAAAAGAAGAAAAAGATTCCATTAATAACCTAAGACTAAATTGAGACAGCTCGAACAAAGTGCGGTCGGTTGTATCTAATTTTCGCCAATAAATTGTTTATTCTTGATGACGAATCATACTTCATTTAACCACTATTCTATTAACAGAAAGGATATTTATTATTCAAATGATATTTCTCAAACATCAACAAGTGTCAATTTCAACCCCACTGTGAAATATGAAAAGAAATTACTTGTTTGGATTTGCTTTTCCGATAAGGGATTATCTTCGCCAATATTCAGAGAAAGTGGCTTTGCAATCAACCAAGAAGTCTACACAAATGATTGTTTCAAGAACAAACTAATTCCATTTATCAAAAAGCATCATTCTGATAGCGAATTCAAATTTTGGCCTGATCTGGCATTGTCTCATTATGCAAAATCTGTACAAAACTACATGAATGAGAAAAAGATCATTTTTGTCGAAAGAGAAGATAACCCTGCAAATGCGCCTGAATATCGTTCTATTTTTGGAGTATTCTCAAAGAAAAAGTGCATGAGAGTATTAGAAAGTTATTACCGTTTTTTAGTCATAATCCGTTTCATGTTTTCCATGACATTTTTTAACGCTGCCAGCATTTTTCACGGCTTTTTGGTAAATGGTTTGATTAAGTCAAAAATACAATGCAGTATTGCAAGCATTACAATACACAATGAATTGCAAGAATTCGATAAATTAACTTTTTTATTTAATACAATAAACAATGAATAGCAAGCATTCAATAAACGTTGCTCTACTTGCAAAGCGTTGCTTTGCAAGTAGAGCAACGTTGTATTAATAGCGAGTCTGTGCGGAATACATCAATTTCTTTTTTTTAAACTATCTATCATTCTTAAGATAAATAAAAAGCCCGCTAATTTGTTATTTGTTAAGTCTATTTTAATAGGGGTTCAAAATTACTATTTCTTTTTCTATGTCTTGTTTAGTTTTAAAAATAATCACTTTGTTTTCTATTGTAAACTTGTAAAAAATATGTAGATAGATCGACAAAATCATACTCTGTAAAGTGTAAAATTCAACCACATTAATTTTTTTGTTTGATTTTAATGTGTTAGGTGCAATCGTGTTATTACTACTGTTTTTTACGTAAATAATTTGATCCAATTTCTGATTATATTTAGAGTTTCAGCAAAATATATCCACAATATATAGCACTGTAAACAATAAAATACACTGGTCTGCAACAAGTTTGCTGACAACTAAGCAAAATGTGATATTGACTCATTTTGTAGATTTCAAAAATTGCATAAGTTTTTTTACAAACCATGATTTGTGAAAAAACTAACACTTAATAGTTTTTTCACAAATCATGGTTTGTGAAAAAAACTTATATTATGTTTGAACAAACAGAAAATGAAAAGGGTTACCTTTTGGTTTTCCAATGGTTTGGAGAGAGACGGTAGATCACTACAGTGATGGTTACTTTTGTTTGAACCTGGTTGCTGAACACAATTCAAAAACCAAATTATCTATTAAGTATAGGTATTGACATTTGACCAGTTATTTATTCAGATAAGATTCCCATTCCTGATTTTATTACTTTTTAGAGCGAACCAATGTAGTTTTTACATCTTAAAAATCTGAGTATATGAATATCGCTACAGAATTACAGTCTCCACTGCTGTTTTCTCAATGCAAGATGAACAACTTAGTCAGAGATCACTTAAAAGAGGCAGCTGAGTTGTTAGGTTTGAGATTATCTGAAAAAAACTGGCTCAAGAAACAACTTTTTCTTTTTAATGAAGTCGAGAGAAAAATTACTATTTCAACAAGATGTTGATTTTGTGTTCTATAGTGGCTTTTTTCCTCTGATTCAGAAAATGGCTCATTGCTACAACTTCTCTAAAAAAACTTCTCTAAAAAAACTTCTCTAAAAAAAAGACCAATAGGATTTTAGAACAAAAAAAAAGTCAAAGCTTTGATTACTATAAACACTTTTTAACGGTGTTTTAATTTAATAGGGTTATAATAAAATTATAATTATACTTTAAATTAGCAACAGGTTTCAATTTTTTTTAGAGTTTGAAAAGAATTACGATGTAAAGCTTCCAATCTCCTTCGAAATATATATTATATTAGATGGTCATAACTTTCAAATATTTGATAACCGTTTAATGAGCTTTAAAATCTGTCAATAAATTTAGAATAAGATAGTGAATTAATTTATTTCAGTTATTTATTGTTCTCGCATTTGGGTTAGGGGTGGTAAATCTGTACATACCCTACTTTTACCATATAAAATTTTATAACGTAAATATTCTCATTTATTCTAAAACTTTGAATAACTTATTATTTACTACTATTAATTTGATTACTGCCAGCATATAGCCAAAAAGAATGAAACTTTTTTTAATCTGTGTTGTCCGAAAAGAACGAAACTTTTTGTAATCTGTGTTGAAATTTTTACAACTATTAATAGGTGGCAATATAAAAGTGGAACTTTCTTAATATAAATATTTTACAAAATGAAATTTTTGGTTACAGCAAATGTTTTTAGATATTAGATTAAAAGTGTTTTTTCATTTAATCTAAAAAGGAGGACTCTTCGTCACCGTCAATCCTCTAGTGGTATTATTCAGTGAATATTAATAGCAGCTAATCTTTGACGTTACTTTAGAGGCTTGAGATGAGGCACGAGCTTAATGGCTCTTTCTTACATTGCTTCGAAAGTATCAATACCTCTGCCATTACATGGTTTCCAATTGAAAAAGCAAAACTCAAGATGTGGTCGTACATAAGTTTTATAAAATACACAAAATCTGTTAACATCCGAACAAATATAGTTAATATATGTAGTGTTAAGACGGTTGAAAACTCTGTTATCAAAGAACATAGCTTTACACATGTCTCATACACTCAATGTGGGCCCATTAAACTAGGTGGTACTCCGGTTATGATCATCCAAGAGAATTGGGTAGTCAGAGGTGTCTTTTATAATCACTATTATTTTTTTATTGTTGACAAGCAGCTTACAAAAATGACGAGTGAGACCCGGCATGTCTTTGAGTTGTACAAAAAAAAAAAATTCATGTCTATTAAAAAATACAAGTTTTATAAACTATTCAAAAATATTTCCACCATTTTCCTTATGGTATCATTTCTCTAAAGTATACATTCTCCATAATAAGTAAACATTTTCCATAATTTGCTTTAAAAATTTTGAGCAACTTATTCACTGCTATTAATTTAATTACAACACAAAGCAAAAAATTTATTTTAAGGAAAAAAATTTTCAACCTATTTTGGACAAAATTTTTACAACTTTTAATAAATGGCAAAAAACTAAATACAAGCTGTCTAAAAAGGAAAAAAGAAAAAAACAATAACAAAATTTAACCATAATAAAACTACCTGATTCACACCGTTTTTTAGGTACAATTAGTAAGTTACCTTATCAAATTAATACTCCACTACTTCCAAAGTAACACAAATTTTACAAAAACGCTTGCCAAATTAACCTAACCAGTCATGCGTGTACAATAACGGCATAATAAAATGTAAATATATGTATACTGGAATGTATAAATACATGTTTATTGGAATACAAAAACTTATGCATACTAGAATGCAAAAATAGTTTAGTTGTATGCAAAAATAGTTTAGTTGTTAAGTTTGTCAAAAACTTTATTAACTTTTTCTTGACAGTTTTATAAAAGTAAAATTTTCATACTACAAATGTTTTAAAACATGAAATTTTTGGTCAAATTTAAGAAATTAACGCTCAACTTATTTGCAAGATTTTTCTGCAATAGTTATTTTCAAATAAATTTGTTTACCACTTATACATGTTACCTATTTTTCAAGGTTATTCTAAAATTACTTTCACATTTTTATATGAACAATGATTGGAATTTTCAAATAAAGTAACAAAAAAAATTTTTTTTAAGTTTCAACATGCTAGTTTAACATTTCGACTTAATAGAATCTGGCAGTGAAATTTAGGTTTAATTAAATTAAAAAAAAAAACTACTTTCGTATACTTTACCACTAGATTTTTTTGCCTCTATTTTAATTACCTCTACATTTAAGCTTTATTATCTTCACCTTTATCACCTTCAGCTCTAAAATCACCAATATTTAAATATATTTCTTTATCTTATGTTAATCAAATTTAGTTTTATAAACTCTATTTTTCTAAGTATTACCAATATTACCTTTACTTCTATTACCTCGACATTTATAAGGTCAATATTAATAATATAGCTCGACATTTATAAGGTCAATATTAATAATTATTAATTATTAATAATTATTAATAATTACTTGCACAAAAGTATCGGTATAAAAACTTTTTAAGCATCTGGTAAATTTTTTTTTATTTTATAATAATAAAATAATGATATTCATATTTATTGTGCATTTTTTTGTTTTGATATTTTGGAAAACCTTGTAAAAATTTAAAAAATCAGAAAACCCGAAAGACAGAACATAAAACCTTTAAATAAAAATTAATATCTGTGGTTAACTTCCAAATGTATGTTTTTTAAAACTTTTACTTTTATATCCACTTAATAAGGGGTAATAATAAATAATATAACTTGTCACATTTTTTAAATTATTTATATTTAATTAGGTGTTTTTAGAAGTCCTTGCGG